GGAGGAATTATTTATTGACACGGACTGTCTTTTGGCTTCACTTCATCGTCTCGTGGTCGGAAAATTAACTCTGGCTCCGATATTAAAGATTCAATTCTGTTTATTTTTTTCTTCTTCCTCCTCTCGTGCAATGGTTCGAAACTCCCCCGCCGTGAGTGTCTCGCGTGGGTCCGTTTATTATTCTGCACAGCACGAGAGGTGCCATGAGAGAAGTAACGAATTGTTCAGAAAGTGGTCCAAAGATGGGAGGAATTTTTCCAATCATTCCCAATTGCAGGATGTGCCGCTTCTAGACTACACGGCATTTCTAAAACATCATCCACTTGTCCACTGACACATGTGATCAAAGCATCAATTTGCAAACTAATCACTATATTTCTTCAGGCGAATTACGCCTAGAATTGCGCTCAAAAGATTTATTGAAATTTTCTTAATACACCGCGACCACTGAAATGCTGGTGAGAAATTTATAGTTGTTGACACATTTTATGAAGTTCAAGAGAAATTGTCGACCCATTCAAATATTTATCACTGTTTGATAAATTGCAGAGGAAATACTGGTTTCCCCGGGCGGTTTTCCCGTGCAGTCTCGCGGTTTTTCCCGCCAAGCAGAGGCCCTCCAGAGCCATGAGGCGAGGTGGGAAGTTGCCGCAGACATGTAAGAGGTAGAGGCAAAGTAGTAATTACAGAGGAGATTGTGTGATTGGCTGAAAACGCTAATTGCATGGTTTTGTGGGAACTGAACATGTGGTTTGGCCTCAGTCAGCCCTCCTCCTTGACTGGGCATTTTCTCTTGTGCTTTGGGCTTGGGAAAAAGTGCGTCTGCCAGAGTGAAAATTGCAATTTTCAGTGATTTGAATTAATCCACGGCAGATGCCGCGAAAGCGTGCTGCTTCAGGGAAGTCATTGTCGATGATGGAGGTCTTGTGGAGTGATCTTCAGGATCGCCAGCGGAGTGTAACGAAAATTAATTACCAAATTACAGCGCTGGTGACAAGTTTGGTTACTCAATTCAACTGATGACTGTGTAAATTGCCTCTTTTGCATTTTCATGTCGCGGACCTCTTCCTCGTAGAATTAATTTATTTTCTCAATATTCTCTTTTCGGTCGCTGTCGCGGCTGTTTTATTTCTGGGTGAGTGCTTTTTTTCTCAGAATCTCTTCTATGGCTGTGCGACTCTCCGATTGGAATTGGCACAACCAGAGAGACACATAGTGATGTGCGTATTAGAAAAAATACCTCTTCCGTCGCTTTTGAATATTTTGAGAAAGAATATACTTTTAGAAACATATTTATTTCTTTAGGATCTGACCTCTCTCTCTCTCCCTTTCTCGCTCGCCCCCTCAGGAAGCCCGTGAGTGTGTCTGAGAGGGAGCCACGCCATAAATTTGGTTGCCCGTTATTTATGTAAAACACCTTCGTGTGCAGAGATAAAAAAGCAAAAGAGAACTGAATCATATTCGGGAGGAACCAGTGAATTTATTAAGTGTGTGTTTGTTCTCATGAGTGTTCGCCACAGTGGAAAATAAACTAATTTATTTAGGAAGTTCCACACACGTTTCTCCACAAAAATTTTTTTGGGCTTCTTTCGCCCCAGAAAACAATTTATTAGTCAATTGTGTGTGGTCCCCTAGACATGGCGAAATATTCAAAGTGCTGCAACGCACACGAGAAACTTTCTATTTCTCCTCCAATTCACGTTCCAAAGACACCGTGAAAGAATTGCCTTCGTTGTTGTTTTTTTTTCGGTGGCCTGGTCAAAGAACTGGACGGGCGCGCGCGTGAAGGAAAAACTTTCACCCGAAAATCTCATGTGAAATTTTTCGAATTTCTCAGAGCTTCGCTCGTCCAGTTTCCTGGCCACCACGCTGTCCTAAGGACCGACCACGGGAAATTGCGCAATGATAAATTTTCTCGTGGTCGCCGGGACGGAAACCCACCCCGTAAAAAGTGCAGGGTGAATTGAAAACAAAGCAGAAATGCCACAAAACAAAAAATGTATCTTTCACTACTTCCGATTTGACTGTTTTCCGTGACACAATAAAATAAAATACAGAGGAAAAAAGGCATCACGAGAGAGTGACAGATTTATGGCCATTGTCCGAATTGTTGAGGAAATTTCATGTGCTCCTCGTTCCCGCCGCTTTTCGGCCCAAAACTTCCCCCGATGCCGCACTGGGGGCGAAAAAAAAAACGCCGCCCAGAGAGTCACCACAGAAGCCACCTTCCCAGGTGCTCGCGATATTCACCTGTGATTAATTGAATTGACAAAATTTATCATAATTGTGCAAACGCGACGGGCGTTTCGTGCGCAAATCGAAAAGGCGACGGTGGCAGCAACAATGTTTTGTGTTAGCTGCTGCGGTTCGTGTTCATGCAGTATAAATGCACATTTAATAAGACAATTATATGAATTACAAGTGCATCAAAACAAATTGGATAATATTCATCCGGTGCGCATCTGGTTTCACACCACACTCAGCAGCTTTTTTTTCACAATTGCCACTCCGGCTGGAAGGAGAGGAGCTAAAGCCCCCACAATCCCGAAAAAATTATATAGAATTTGAGATGTACTTAAGAGGCTAATTTTCAGCATACTTTTCCCCTCTGGTGCTTCGCAACGGCGCGAGAGGCGATCAAATGCACAAAGCAGAGTCGCACTTAGACAAATTTCAGTGGCAATCGCAGTTTTCGCAGTAAGATATCTTCTAGAAAATAAGTGCTGCATTTCTCGTACAAATGATGATGGTTAAGTGTGCCTAAGATTCTCATAAATGTCTACTTGTCCGCCTCTCGGAATTCGCTACACCATCCAGTCATTGAGAAGTTCAAAGAGAGAATTCTGTGCTCATTTGAAGGAATGAATGCAACGTGAATTTCTTGTCGCTCCTCTATGAGAATATCATAGGGCGAGTAATTTGCTGCCGGTGAGATAATAACAAACGTGAAACATGTAAGACAATTTTCACAGTGCCAAGTTGGACTGTTCAAGGGAGGAGATGAGAAGACAAAATAGTACGAGAGTTGAATATGAAAATAATAAAGAATATTGTGTGGTAAAAAGTTGTGGAATTTAATGGATGTACACACGACGACGAATAGTATTTTATTATTCAATTATGCACTTTTTGCGATAAAATGGTGTTAAATGAAATTATTGCAATTAAAATGCAAATTAGATGATTTGTTGCCTTCCACTCGACCAATGTACTTATTAATTCCCATATTATGAGCCACTAATATGCCTTCGATGGCACGTCTCGCCGAGGGGATTCTCGCTGCAATCACAGACCACAGAGATTGGCAGAGACTCGCGAGGAAAATATAATTGCCAGCCTCGGAGGTGTGAGAGATGAGAGGAAATTCGAGTGATTTGACATTACAATGGGTGGGAAAGAGACTCTCTGCCTCCCATGGGCAAATCGAGAGTCATCCACCAATTGAAACGACAAAGAAGTGCCCGCATTTCCGAGACAAACACCAAAAGCCCGCAAGATTGAGGCGAAAAAAAGCGAGTTCTGGCAGTGACCAGAAGGAGAAATTTACCAGAGCGTCCAAATGGGAGAGAATTGAATTAATCTCAATGATCCACATGCATCTCTGCGTCGTATCTGATGATGTCTTAATTGGTGGAGAATTTCTCGGTCGCTTTGGGACTTGGGATGCATCAAAAAGGGGCAACCGACAGCCCAGCTTTTCCCAACAGAAATATCCCAGTGAAAGTGTTCTCCCAGAATTGGAGATTCGCCTTGAAGACTCTCTTCGGAGGCGCGGAGAGTCTTCAAGGCGCCGCACAATGTTGCAAAAAAAATAACAAATGTCTTTGAAGCATGAAAACACTCAAGATAAGCCCTTCGTGATATTAAGAATTCATCTGTGAACATTGAAATCCATCATTTTGATCATTACAAGTTCTTACATGTAAAAGAACCCATCTTTTTATGCAACAGCAATTGGAAACAAGCATTTTCCAAGAAATTGTATGTTGCACTGTCATAATGAATATTTCACACTCGCCTTGTTTTTTTATTAATTGATTTTCGTTATTAAAATATACCGCATGTGTAATTGAGATGCGTAGATTATCTCTTCTGCTTAGGGGAGCTTTGGAGCTTGCGAAGCTCATTAGAAAAGGAATTAGCAAATGCGAGTGAGAGAGAAGAGTGCCGAATGACCTTTGTAGATGTCCAGAATTTCACTTGAGGAATTCATTCATTCCACCGAAGGGGAGTCCTCGGTCTCAAACACGTGGCGCGATATTGCATAAGGCGGCAAAAGTCGCGACGGTAAAGGTAAGAAACAGGTTCTTGCATTTCGCATGACATTCAGTGACGACGAGGAATACCAAAGTGGCCAATAAGTGGGTTAAAAATTTGAATAAGACTTCCAGGAAGGGAAAAGTGACACACAAGCTGGCGACATAAATTATCGCGTGTGTTGCCGGGGATAAATCGATAATTGGATTTTTCGGCGAGCCCTGAAGGCCAAGGAAGAGACATGGATGATTTGATGTACCTTCTTGGGCAACCGCATCCTCTTTCTCACGTGCTTTTTGCGGGTTTTGTATGATTTATCTGCCTGCGGCAGTTGGAAGTTGATTATCCGAGGAGACACCCCGAAAAAGGGAAAGTCTCTCCCATTTCCATTCTCCCAATGCATCTTTTATGCAGCCTCTGTCTTATTTATTGCGCCTCGACCGGGACAAATAAAGTCTCTCAGCACTTACATCTCGGATAACAAGGTTTCAATTTGTAATTTCACCTCCCAAGGGTGGCATTTTTTCCCGTGCCCAATTGAAGGATTGTAATTTATGAGCAATGCACGGGGGGTGATTTTCGCGTGATTTCTCCGCACTTCATTTAAATATTATACTTTGAATATCTGTGCTGCCAATAAATTAACGTTGCGCGAGCAACAAATGTCGCTACAAGACTTCACAAATGGAGTCTCATGGCGGGACAGATTATGCTGTTAAGTTGCCCGTTGACATATGGTTTACCTTGCTTGTAATGTTCTTATCCGAATTGTAACTGTGTCAGAGTGTCACTTTGCTCAGACTTTTCATTTCCATGAGGCCATACACTATCCCATTTGGAGACACTAATCACGAGTTTGATCTCATTCTAGCCTTTTGACACATTTTCACGTATCCTCCATTGTGCATTTTCTCTTTTTTTTACCGCCCAAAAAAGAAACAGACTCGCTTCTTCACACTTCTTCTGCACGGATTTCACCCAGAAAGTGCGGTGAAAATTCACGAGAGTGTATATAATAAAAAACTTTTCAAGCACACGCACAGTGGCTTTCCCCGCAAGAGATGAAAAATGACGGGTGATTTTTCGAGGCACCAACACAGCACAATTGCAGAGAGTTGCTCTTCAATGGAATAAATATGAATGGAGAAACGGCGAATAATGTACAATAAAATGCACTAAAAATCGTGAATGAATAATTCAAATAAATTTCTTATGACACAATCACTCCACTTTGCGCTGAAATGCTCAAGAGGATTTTTATCAGTAGTGGGCGAATGAGACACGAGAGGCACATTTTTCAGGCTTATGCTCCGCGCACGCACGCACGCACAGAAATTCACCTACGTCACTTCACACACGTGAATTTTCGCGAAATGGATCCCCACAAATGTCCCGTGGACATCCTGCTGACGACGGGAAAAGCTCGCTGGCGAGAATCGCGTGTGATTTTCCCGAATGTCATGCAAACACTGAGAAAAGCCGTGGCTCTCGAGCACAGAGCAACGCTACAATTGCTCAGCCTTCATCTACAGCGTCGAGTCGAGCTCTAATACACTGCTGTTGCTGTCTCTTGTGGTAAGTCATGCCAAGCTGAGAGCCCCGTGTTTTCACATGGATTCCCTCTTCTTTTTCGCACTCCGTCCCTGTCTCGCTCTCGGCCCTCGGCTCAATCAAAAGTCCTCACTTTCGCCATGCCAGGATCATCACGGAGGATTTCCCACAGAATTTTCCCCACACAGCGTCTCAGGCAATTAATTCCTCCACAGAAATCTAGATAAAAATGCCCGCTTTTTTCGGTGGGGAAGGAAATTCCATTGGAGATATTTTCTTTTGGGCGGAAAGTGGAAATCCACCGTGATTCATCGTTGTCTCGTTGGGTAAATATTTGCCTAACGATTTGTCAAATGGCATACAAACAGGAGAAGCGCAGGGTCGATCTGAGAAATTTCTCAAACTTCACTCTGAATCATATTTTTTAGAGCCCGTTTCTAGCGATTTTGGGAAATATTTCAAGATACATCTGTACGAAATCAGTTGATTTGGCCTGAAAACGAAGAAAGTCGTGCCTCAAAATCGAATTCACGTAAAGCTATTCGACTCCAACTGGAAGGCGTTCTTCTCCCGAACCAACTCTGTGCCTGACAAAATATTTCTCCAGCTGAGAGAGTGGCAAGGAGTGGGAATCCTCATTGAAGAGATTTAGATCCCACCCCATCCGAGGCGCCCATCATATCCGCCATATGTGGACTTGGCATTTCTTTCTCTTCGGCAACACCACCATGGCTGCATTTGGCTGTGAGCGTGTACACGGACGATGGGCTGAGTGCTTCTCCCCTGCGTGTTGGTTCAACTGTCAGAACAAATCAGTCAACGGGCGCTGCGAGGAATGGTGACTGAATAAGAAATATGACCTGCGCAAAAATGGACTCTCGATGCTAAATGGTTCCTCCTGGACGTCTTGTGGTGGGAAAGAGACCAACCACAACTATCGATCCGGAGGCCCCTCGCGGGGTGAACACGAAAGTTCACTCTTGGCGCCAAAAGAGGAGTCCCCAGAGACGCCGGTGGAAAAAGTGAAAGTTGGCGGGAAATTATTAATGAAAATCGCGGATTTGTCGGCACCGAATTGAATTATTTCTTGCAATTCGCCCGGGTCGCCGGAATGTTAATTTAATGGCCATTAGACATGAAGGGCTCCCTCGAGATGAGACCAACAGGTATTTTCCCAACTTTTCCTCACCACCGTGTCCCACAATTATGACCGTCTTTTGAGATTTTCACCTCCTTGGTCGCCTTTTTCTCCCGGCCGAGATGTTTACTTATGTGTTACCTGCAAAGAGAGAGAGAGAGAAAAGGGCACCATTAAAAATCGATTGTCTGCTTTACACCGTCTTAAGGGAGGAACTTTGGATATTTTTACAACTCAATCTTAGGGGTGGAAGTTTTTTTGCTTCCTCTCTGTGGCACCGCAATAAATCGCCAAGAAGTATCACAACCTCAAATTAAATCATCCAACTTTCTCTTCCTCACAGTCGGACACTCTCAGGCTTTCGGTGATCCTTTAATGTTACTCCCGACAACGCATTGAGATATTAAATCCTCTGATACGTTTTTTTACCCTGAATAATGTCTCTTGTAGCCGAAAAAAAGACAGTCGAGACAACTTGTGGCAAGTTCCAAGAGGTTAACAAAGAGATTGCCGCATATTAGAAGCAATGGCGTCAGTCTTGGACCCCCGAAAATTACCATGATCATCGAAGATTACATGGAATAGCATTTGGAACCACTTCCGTGATTAATTGGATTGTGGTATTTAGGCGGTCTCCTATGGTTGAAATTGCAACAAAGTGCTTGGGAGCCTGGAAAGAACGGATTTCGGTATGCTTTCCCATTGAAAAGTGTGTGATTCCCATAAATTAGTCTGCATGGTGTTGAAAATGTCATCATATTAGAGGCCACTGATTCTGGTTTTATTGTTACGCCATGGACAGTCATGCGAAGAGGAAAGGTGAAGCACAAGAATAAGCCACTGTTTCTAATTTACACCACAACCTCCACGCTTGTTTCGGACTCTCTCTCTCTCTCGATTGGCTTCGGGCGCAACGTGGAAGGGTGCAAGAGGGTGGACCTCTGGTCCCCCGTGACCCCATCATTCAATAACTCACGCCAGACTGCTGGAAAAATCATCTGCAATCATCGCCATATATTTCCTTCGTCATTTTTCTCCGGCCGACCAGAATAATCGAATTATTTCATGAGACTTGCTTCTAATTGAAAAATATTGCCACAGACCTGGGGAGGAGCCTCACATGATGGCAATTACAGTGTGAGTCCATCAGTTGCAACTCTCACCACCCCGTGAGACCCGAGCAACTGGAAGAACTGGAAATCTTCGGGTTGGGTTTCTTTGTCGTGCCACGGAGGTCCACCATCATGAGCCAAGGGGTTGCCAAGTTGGCATATATAATTCGTATAATTTTGAATCTGGATATTTGAGAATTTTGCCTTCAAACATCCAGCCAAGTGATTTTCCGAAAATTTCAGTCTCACAGATCTCTTCAAATGTGAGCCAAGAAATCAAATTAATTCGTCGAGTTGAGCTTCTCGGCGGAAAGCAACCTAGACATGGGTTTGGTCACTTGGTGGCCCCTGCGAAACAGGAAATTCTTGCAGGGGATGGTCGTTGGATTGAGTTGTTTGGCGAGGCAGCGGGGAAAAAAGGCCGACCACCCTTTTCGGCGGTTGTTTGCATGCTCTTGAAATTCATAATCATAAAACCATTTTGTCCGCTACGAGAGAAATTAAAATGTTAGACCAAATTGATTTATGGTCGCGCTAGTTATTCATATTGCCGTGATGATGACACAGCTGACGTTGGGTGTTTTGTTCGTTCTGTGATCATCGTTCAAGGCAATGAATAATTAAAATGCTGTGTTCTCGCCCCAAAAACAGGCGCTGCATAGTTCCGAAAAAAAGTCTCTCCGCCATTAGAGTAATGATGGTAATTGGGGGCCTCGCTGAGGTGATAATGCTCGGGTGTTTATCAGCCAAAGAATGCACATAGAGGCAAGAAGTGTCGGTGCACAGGCCATGGCGAGTAGGGAATTTAATATAATTTCACTGGTGAATGAAATTGTGGTATCCCCCTTATCAGCTACTTCCCATCGATTCTGCCTTGGTCGCGTTCTCGTTCCACATTGCTGGACTCGGGCCTCATGTTACCGATGTACACAGCACTGGGTGTTGTTTCTTGTGCCCGGCCGAAAGGCGCCCTCGGCCCCGCACTCCCCGGCCATGATCCATCCTTCGACATGGCAGTGGAAACCCTCCCGTCGAGCGAGGGAACCCCCTTCTTCCACCGAAATAACGGCCTATAGGCAATAATTATAATATAACTTTCAGAAATTGATTTATTGCGCAAAATTGAAGATAACGTGTATGCTAGGAATAAATATATAGAAAAATGGAAATTCCACTCAAGAGCCGTACAACGAATTATAATTTAATAAAATACTATACATAAATACATCACATTCTCGCGCAGTGTGTCTCTAGAACACGCTCAAGAGATGCCACACGGTCGTTTTTTTCTCTATACATCGCGGAGTCTCTTTTCCAGAGAAGCCACCTTTGGGAAGAGATGAGCGGCGGGACGTGGAGAGGGTCCAGGAAACGGCATTCCAATAATTGGCCAATTTCATTTCAGTGCCCCTCCAAACGCGGGGCCTCGAATTAATTCTGATACGGATGGATAGAATTCTCGGAAAGAGAATTAGAATCATTTTTCACCACACTCGCGACTCGCGTAGTGGCGGAGGAAATTCTTCACGGCGACACTGTCAAACGTCCCAAATTCTCTTCCAGCCGCACACAATAAGAAACACCGTCCGGAGATTAGCCATGAGAGTGCAGAAAAAAGTGCAAAGAGGCAAAGAGAGTGACTTGTTTAAGGTGGAGGAACTCCATGCTTTATTTATTCTTTTATCACATCTACTATCCGCAATATTCTGCAACCAATAAATCATGAAAATTATAGCTTGTTCCACATTTTCGTTTTGGATTAATGCTCCACTGTCTGTGAGATGAAATCTCTGGCTAAGCCCGCCCTGTCTCCGCGACTCCTTTCCGCTCACATCTTCCTGTGCGAGGTGGAAAAAGGCCAAGGCATGAGCGATTTTCTAGCTGGGCGCGAAAATATGGCACACAGATCGTCTGTAATTTTCACCATATCACGAGGATTTTTGATTGATTCACAATGCTTGACACCCCATTGATTTATGGACGAAAACACCATCGAGATTTTCTCATAGATCCAGAGGCAAGGGATTCGCAGAATTTCATATATGGCCGAATCGAACACGGAGCGTCTTTTATCTGTCCATCCTCGAACAGTTGGTGTTGTGGAAAATTACAGGGACAAACAAAGTCTGGATGGCCTGGTTGAGAAAACTTGTCGCTTCTGCCTCTATTCTTCATTAAAATCGAAAGACAACGCCGACATGTCAGTGTCGCCTTCAGGAGTCGCGCAGTGGGTGTGACTATTTCCACCCCCACGGCGTCGGAAAATGGCACAATCAAATTTCCAGCAGAATACGTCAGTCAGAGATCGGATTTCCTCGCCCCTGAGACGCAGCGAGACTCCCGACAGTTTCTGAGGGTTGCCGCCATGAATATTCAATTCGACCCCTTCGATCTCCCGCCCCGAAAAGTGAGAAGGTGGCCGAGGAATGGTTTTAATATCCGGCGTCGCAAATCTCACAGCAAGACCTCCTCGGGGGGTCGCCGCCTCCCCCCGAAAATACCAATCCATGGAGGAGCACCCTATGT